TTATGTGATAATACATTCTCTTTAATTCTATAAACAGACATAATTTCTTGTTCAGTTACAAAGTTCCGCTGTTCAAGTCCTATAATTGCTGTGTCTACCGACTAATTTGTCAATCGAAATTTTTTCGTTTTCAATAACCTCTGTCACTTTCTTCGCTATCGGAAGCGAATTATAGTGACGAGGAATTTGATTTCAATCATATCAAAGACGGAGTACATCAAGATGAAATACTACATTTAGTAAGGAATTATAAGCCAAATAAAATAAAAACATCTGCCTTGAAGATAAGGATAGTGCTGACAGATCAACTTCCAATTCATTGCGCGTTGCGGCATTAAAGATAAACAAAGCTTAGATAAACAAACGTTAAAGTTTAGATAAACAAAGGCTATGCCTTTATCCATTTTTTGCACGAAGTCCACTTTTTGTTTAATGGACTTCGAAACATACTTTCACTTTGTAGATCCTTTACATATTAGTAAATATATATCAGAAATTCTATTTGACATAATCGAAAGTTCAAGCTTACTTTCATAAAATTTCTATAACAGTCTGCAAAAAATAATAAGCCGGATCCAATTCGAAGATTAAGGAACAATGCAATCTGCAACATTAACTGAAATAGATAATTAGATAATTTTAGCTTAGCTTATACCGTTTGCTATACATTAAACGCGCATTCGTAAACATATTTTGCGCACACGCATATTCGCAGCTGTAAAGGTCTTACGTCCGTCGCATGCGTCGAGTTGACGCATGCGCATGCACAGAAAGTTTGTAGCTTTGAGGTCCGGATTATGGGTGTCCGAATTAACAACTTTTAACTGTATTCAAATTCATTGGGTTTATATCAATGCAGTAGACTGATATGTTGGAATAAACTTAAAATTTTTATTCCAACACACCATTATTTTGAAATATGAATTCTAATGTTTGTAAAATGAATTTTTATAGTTAATACTATTTTGCAAATAATCTGAACTCTTTCGTAATGGAGAAATTATCAATTTTGAGATTTTTTATTGTATTTTGAATTTTGTTCTGAGTGCATTAGGGAAACACTCATTTTTATTATTATTATTATTCATGTCGCATGTAATCTTTTTTTGATCCTGTAACACAAGGGTCCTTCACCAGGGTGAATTCTGCCCTGGAGAAATTTTGTAATTTCATAAAAGGAATGCTTCAGACTTTTATACGCCTGTTAATACAGTCAAAAGTCGTTAATTCGGACACTCATAATCCGGACCTCAAAACTACAAACTTTCTGCGCATGCATCAACGCAACGCATGCGCATAGGCATTTACACATGCGCGTTTAATGTATAATGGACGGTATGAGCTAAAATTATCTATTTCAGTTAATGTTGCAGATTGCATTGTTCCTTAATCTTCAAATTGGATCCGGCTTATTATTTTTTGCAGACTGTTAGAGCAATTTTATAAAAGTAAGCTTGAACTTTCGATTATGTCAAATAGAATTTCTGATGCTGGAGCTCCCAAAGGATCTACAAAGCAAAAGTATGTTTCGATGTCCATCAAACAAAAAGTGGAATTGCTGCAAAAAATGATAAAGGCATATCCTTTGTTTCTGTAACCATGAATGCAACCATCAATCTGTCTAACCATGAATCTAACCATGAATGTGTCTCTAACCATGCAAAAAATGATAAAGGCATATCCTTTGTTTCTCTAACCATTCCAAAATCTGTTTATCAATTTCAAGCTGCTCTGCGGGGGGGGGGGGGGACATTGCAGCGCGCAATGAATTGGAAGTTGATCTGTCAGCACTATCCTTATCTTCAGGGCAGATGTTTTTATTTTATTTGGCTTATAATTCCTTACTAAATGTAGTATTTCATCTTGATGTACTCCGTCTTTGATATGATTGAAATCAAATTCCTCGTCACTATAATTCGCTTCCGATAGCGAAGAAAGTGACAGAGGTTATTGAAAACAAAAAAATTTCGATTGACAAATTAGTCGGTAGACACAGCAATTATAGGACTTGAACAGCGGAACTTTGTAACTGAACAAGAAATTATGTCTGTTTATAGAATTAAAGAGAATGTATTATCACATAAAAAACGAAGCAACTTACATTGAAAGAAATGTTTAATAAAGTAAACAAATAAATATTAGCTTTTTTTTTTGGAAATTTTGATACCTTTTTTTAGATTATAATTGCATAATTGTTCTTTATTTCATAAATTATGGTTTCATATTTTTAATTTTATAATTTCTGCATGCCATCTATTCAAGTTCTGCTGTTTATCAACTTTTTCTATACTTTTTTTTTTTTTTTTTTTGGTACTTTTCCTTTTCGCTGGCGCAAATCTCGCCAAGCAGTCTTTATTGGTGAAAACACACAGTACACACATAAAAAATCTTGACAAATGTTAGTTCTAAGTATTTTTTATTTTGAAGGTATCAACATTTTAATGTCGTTTAAAATTTTGTAAAAAAGCCAATAAATTTGTAAAAAGACATGAATTTAATAATTTACTATGCTTTCATCGTACAACATCCTGATACCCAGGTTCATATCACATGATCTCATTTCACGTAAATTACAAAAATCTAATTCTCTCAGTAATTATTTACATTAATTTCAAGTTAAATCTTAATTTGGAATACAAGTTTAAATGCAAGAATTATTTCAATTCGTACGAAGAGCTTACTCAGAAATTGAAACCGCAGTGCTTTACTTTGTTAATGCATTCTCATTAGAATGGATGAATTTAACCCTTGACTTTGCCTTTCTATATTTTCGCTATCGGGTGAGCAGTGTGATTGCATCCTAATTGACTTACTGCCCACAAATGGCCTTAGGGCATAAAACTGAACTATCTTGTAAAAATTCTATGTAACTGTATGCCAGTATTGAAAGAAAAAATCAATTTGATAAGAAATGGTGTTGCAACTTGTTAAAGTAAAAGGTTACCAGTGAAGATATTTCGTTTGGCATCGACTGTACCATTACTGGCGACTTTATTCCTTGCACCGGAAAAACAGAAACCTTTTTTTGTTGTTTAATTTATAAAAAAATAATCTAAATTTAAATATATGAATGCTTTTAGTTTTGGCAAAAAAGGGGGATGATTATCAAGCGATGGTGAAAGAAGTGTATGGAACAAAAAATGTTGAGAACCACTGCTACAACATATTGCTGAATTGTGTTATACTGCTGCTTTTGTTTTTATTCAACCAGCCAACTATACTCCTAGAGTTCTAAATGCATTTAAGAGTGCTGCTTACAACTATATGCATATGTTTGTTGGCACGATATGTCTTTTGCCTGGAGAACTTTGATAGTACTGGTAAAGAAAAATTTTTGGTAAAATTACCATCGCAAGCACTTTGGTGACATTTAAAATTAATTTGGCAAAGACTAGATGAACGGCAACCTTCAAAAAATGAAAAACTACGGTGTATGATGAAAAATAAAATTTTTTTTATCTTTGTGAAGGTCACAATTTAGCAGCTATTGCTGTTAGAATCAGTATTAGTACTTTCTGATTTTCACCCAGATTTAACTGTCTGTTGCACTGTCTCATTAAAGTTTGGTCTTCAGCCCAACAGTATAAGAAGCTCAAAGCTGTAAAAAAATTGACCCTGGAATCAGGAAATATAATGTGCATGCAGGTTCATAATGAATTGAATGCACACAGAGCCAATAATAGCTTGATAAAACTAAATTTTCCCAAAAGTAGCATCTTACAGTTCTGGAACTTTTCACAAAAGTATTCGTACAGCTCTTCTCAGTATGACAGAGCAAAATCAGTAGTAACCACTTCAAACTACTAAGAATGTTAAACACAACATAATGTAAAAAGTCTCAAATGTGTAAGCTCGCATAGTGAATTCTCAGTACATGCAATCACAATTATACAGGAACCTGACAAAAATGTCACCAGATAATCACCAGACAAAAATGAATCATTAAAAGTATCTCCAGCTTGGCATTATCTAGCCAAGCCATTTATTTCAGTGTTAAATGAAATGTTATTTTTCTGGCAATGATTTTCATCTTGAGGCCTTTTATGTTACTAGACATACTACATATATTCAAGAGGTATGTAAGAGACAAGAGAAAACTACAATTTACATATAATTTCAATAAAATTATTTACAAGTATACAAAATTTGTAACTGACAGTTTTTTACTTGCATCTGCAAGTACAATAGTATTAAAACTAGTTGCGATTCGTTAGTTTTGGTTAAAGACAGAAAAATTAATCCTTCAAATTCATCCTTTAAAACACCTATAAAATGTATTTTAAAATATTACTATAATACACATAGGGTAGAAAAAAAGAAAGAAATGTGTAATTTTTCATTTTTTAGATGAATAATTCAAGTATTTAAATTTATAGTTAAAATAATTTTTAATGAATTTTAATTAAAGTTTTGAATAAAATAAAAGGTAATTTATTCTAAATTAGCCAAAAATTCTATGTATTTAGAACAGAGGATTTCAACCAGAGGGGATACTTTCAGAAGGGAAATGCAGTCAGCCTTTTGTTTAGTTTTAGTTTATAAATATAAAAAACTACTTTTATTCAAATTTTGGCATTTATCAACATTTTCCATATCTTGTTGTTGTTTCTTTTATAAAAACATGTTAAAGAATAATTTAGATCAAAATAAATATATATTTATTTTTCAAGTTTAGAAAAAGAGGGGGAGGCAATAACCTTATAGCAATGGTGGAAGAGTTGCAGAGCAAAAACATTGAGAACCACTGATAAGTGAATACAAGCATAGGATTTTATTCTTCAAAGAACAAAAACTGTCCCTCAGAATATATAAAGTTTTTATATAGAACCAGTTTGAACTTTTGTACCTGGTTATTGATACATTTACCAATATGTATTTGCAGTTTAGAAAATTTTGAAAATAAAATTTAATTTATTTTCAGTTTTTTTAAAATATTATTGGTGTTGTTTTGTGTTTAAATCAAAGTGTTTGATTACATGTACATTTTTCCCTTGTTTCAGAATTTGCCAACAAAGCAAACAATTAGCAAAAGAGAAACAGATTCTGACTGATACAGTACAAGATGCCGTGACTAAGAAAATTGCAGACAGAGCTAAAGAAACATATGACTGTCAAAAAGATTTAGAAAAAACTATTGAAGAGTTAACAACTGAAATAAAAAAGTTGTTGTTGGAAAAGAAAAGGCTTGAAAATGCTATTAATGAAGTCCAGTTAAGTCTGATAGTGGCCCAGGAAAGTCTTGACCTGAGGGATCAAAGAATTTCATCAGATTTGGTACATGATAGATTACAGGAAGAACTTCACAGAGTAAGTACTATTTATTTTGCATTTTAAAACTTGTATTAACTTATGATTGGAATTTTTAAATTTAAGTATTAAATATCATACAAATAGTAATATAATATGCCAAACATTTAAATATTATCAAAAGAATCAAAATTTAAAATGTATAAATAAATCTGAAAATAACATATAATAATAAAAAAGAATCATTTGGATGAGAAAAGTGTTCAACATATTCAGTTTTTATAACTTAAGTGTATTGTGATCATACAGAAAAAATATCAAGCCACTATGAAAATTTATAATAAATTATAAAATTTATTTTTTTAATAATGACCTAAAAATTCATATATTAATTGCAAATGTTTGATCCAGACAAGTTGTTCGAGACACTAAAAATATATAACTGTGATGCCTTTTTGAAAGAATTTTATTCTTTTAATGGTTATAGAGATTTTATATACATTATACTAAGGAAATAAGTAGCATGCTATGCTGATGATATTGCTATCTGGCAAACTGAGGCAGTCTGAGAAATCCTTGGGGCACTTCTTAAAGGGAATATTGAGATAGGCAAAGTCTCTGAAACTGACATTTAAGTATTAAATATCGTATTAATCCACAGGAAACATCTTACAGTGTTTTTTCCATGGATAAGAAACATAAATATCTCTTCTCACCAAATTTATCCCTAAACAACCAACCATTTACAAAGAAAATGCCGTCTATTTAGGACTAACTCGGGATTCAGAATTACATTTTACAATACTGAAAATTCTATTAAAAAAAATCTATGTGGCTTAATTGGGGAGCAAATGCTATGATTTTAAAAACTACCTATACTACTCTTATCAGGCCCATCAAGGAGTATGCAACACCAGTCTGGTCTTATGCTTCAGAATCTGCATTAGAAAAGCTCGTTAACATACAAGCAAGAGCAGCAAAAATAATTATCAGAGCAGTCTCATTTGCAAATAATCTGAAATCATTGCAAGAATGTAGCATAGAGACCTTATAAAATAGAAGAAAATTCGGTGTTACCAAATTCACCAGCAAGATCAGATCATATTAGTAAAAAAGCTTTTCAGATGTGGAGTGGAAAACCAAGTCTTAAAAGATCTTCCACCTTGAAGTACATTCAAAAGATTAGATCAAAACCATAGAATTGTACTCAGAGAATGGCTGTGTTTGCATCTTCACAGATGGATTTTCAGATGAAATTCTAATTAATAGTGGAGCTGAAATAAACTTTATTTTCCCAGATGGTACCATAAAACAACATGAGATTGGAGCAGGAAAAATTGCTTCAAATTACACTTGCAAGCTCATTGCCATACAAGAGACTCTAAACATCTATATCAAGCTTGAAAATTTCAAGAAGACTAAAGGAATAATAATCTCCAGTGACTTCAGAAAGGCTGCTGTTCAAGCAATTCAGCAGGTTTTCTCAAGACAGACCCATGAAATACATAATGCCCTGACCCAAATCAATCGACTAAATAAACGCTGTTTAATGCAGTGGATACCACCTCACAATGAAGCTGCAGACACCCTGGCCAGAGAAGTGAGACAACTAAATGAAGAATCTCATCGTCCCACCTCACTGAATAACATGAAATCTGTTGTTAAGTCAAAACTGAGAAATGCAACCATCAGGCAGAAATTTCAGATATGTGAACTCAGTGCCAACAAAATTACTTCTAAAACCTTGGCATGACTTATAGGTCATTTCAGATGGATGAAAATCTTATCAGACAAAACAAGAACCTATACTGTCTGCAGAAACTTCCCTGGAATCAAACTTGGGCCAAACCACATCTTTTCCTTCCCCACCATCTTGGTTGTAATGCAGCAAATTAGTGACTGCTCACAGGAAGACATCTATGAAGAAAATTGCCTCAAGATAGCTAAGGTGATCTGCACTGCCCGTGGTACCATCTGACTGACTTCATGGGCACAGCAACAAGCAAACAGACAATCTGAGAAAATCACATTGCTGTTGGATAACATTAAAAAACAACCAAATTTTCTGCATAGCTGTATTTCTTTATAAATTTATTCAAATTCAAATGTTAAAAATTATAAAAATAAGATAGAAGTTTTTCTGCATAAACATAATAGCAGAAAAATAGCATCTTATTTTTGTCAGTTAAATGCTAATATTTTATTATACAAGGTTCTGACCAAACAGAAACACTGATGTAGGTTGTGACCAGATAAAAATGCTTGTATACTTTCTGAAAGGTAATGTTTGAACTGTTGGGGATATTATCAAAAACTCTTCTTTTAATGTTACAGGAGGAAAAATAAATTTCAGTATATGCATATATGGAACAAACACATGCCAATACAAATATAAAATTAAACCAAAAGTCAACCTCAGTTTGACAGTGGCTCTTCTGAAAGTTATAATGATTTTGAGAAAATCAAGCAATGAGATCTGTTTCATTTAAGGAGTAAAAATGTGTACATATGTCAGGGGAATGTAAATTATATTGACAAGGAAAATTAACCATTTTTTTCTATTAAAGTTTTACATCTGCAACACTAAAACGGGATTAAAATTTCATATGGACTTCATTGTTGCTTTGACAGCCACACAAGTACTTTTATTAAAATTGCAGAGATATTTTTTTATATTGATGAATAAGATTCATGTGTAGCCCAAATCCACCAAAATCTATTTTAGTTAATGATATTAATTCCAATCAAATTTTCCCCATAACTTTTTTAATTCTAATACTTTCTTTTATTTCTGTTTTACCAGATAGTGGTGCTATGTTTATTCTATTCATTTTGACTGTTTATTTGGCTTTTAGTGCCTTTGCCCCAGTGTAAAATCATTTTGCTCCTTGACAAGAGTAGAAAGAAGAGTAGAAAGATGGTCTCATTCCCTAATTCCATCAAAATCAGCAAAGTTCCTATGAAAGCATTCTCAAACTAAGGTTTTGGCTTGGTGTCTTTTGTGTTCAGTATATTGTTTTCTTTAGCAAAATATAGATTTTAAAATTTGTAAAATAATAAGACTAATAAAAAATTAGCTGTTTATCTCTTGAACATGATGTGAGTAGCACAGTATTATAATTTCAGTTCACATTTCTGTTACGTGTCTAATATACTGCCACAAAAGTTTTCTGTTACGTTTGTGGCAGTATATTAGAAGACCCACAGAGGAAGTAATTAGTTTAACAGTATTGTTAATAAGTTAAAATATATAAGGCTAAGGTGTTAGTTAATGAAAAGGAATAAGAAAACTGATGGAGTTTTAGTAGAGATATTTGGTATTGTTCTGTTATTGGGACTGGAGTCATTGCCAAACATTTTGCTAAACTTGCCAAGAAATTGGTTCATATGAAATTCCAATGTCTAGTTTTAAAGTTGTTTTGATTTTTATTAAGTAAAAGTATGCCTTTTCAAAATTGATAATGAGAATACAAGTTCTAAAGATGTAACAATCGCTTCTGTTTTTAATATAGTTGTATTTACCATAGATATGAAAATTTTGGACTTTCCTAATGATGAAACATCTGCCATACAATTTCTTCAGGAATGTGGAATAATTCACTTTGGAAGAAAGTGCATGAAAAACCATAAAATGAATCCCTACTTCCAATTAAA